TTTTTTCCTAATTCGATCATATATGTAAATTTATCTCTTAATTTCTCAAATCCTTAATATGTCAATCTTTTGTTATATATTTAGCTTAAGTAGCTTTTATTTAAACTGCATTATTGTATTATATATTGTCATGTAAATGGATTCATCTGTTGGGCAATAAATTTTTTTTTTCTTCCTTTTCTTTTCTTTCGTTCGTTGCTTCTCGGCAACCAAATCGATCATATTCTGGAAAAGATCGTCACGTGTGATGAAAAGTGTTTCCTCTTCTACAACAGAAGACGATCAGGGCAGTGGTTGGGCACTAATGAGGCACCCTGGCACTTCCCGAAGGTAAAAATCCACTAAAAAGACCATGGTTACTGTATGGTGGTCAGTGGGCTGGTGTGATTCATTATAACTCTCCGCAATCGGGCTAAACCATCACAGCAGATTCCTTTTGTGAGGAAATCCACGAAATGTACTGGTAATTGCTTCACGAGAACGCCCGTCCGCACGTTTCACAAATCCCCAGATTTTCGCCTACCGACTATCATGTTTTCAAGAACTTCGATAAATTTCTCATCGATAGAACCTCCGCCAATCAGGACCAGGGAAAAACGGCCTTTGTCGACTTCATGGAATTCCAAACATCCAATTTTTATGCTGACGGAATTTATAGACTTGTGTTACGTTGGAAAAATATACTGTTTGTTTGAAGGTGGTTGACAATGTTTCGTGATGTATTTCATCAGTTCGATCTTCTATTGTCTAATATAAATTGATTTGAAATACCTAAAAAAAAAATTAAAAAACTAGGACCCAGTGGCACCCACAGCCTGAACTAGTCAAATGTTACACCCATGCTCAATCCTTAAAGAGATGAGAATGAAAATTAAAAGACTCCAAACCAAGTTATGTCACGACGTTTCGATTGTTAGTATCCACAATCGTCTTTGGGTGATAACTGGACTTATTCCTCCGCGATCTGACTATTTATAGGTCATTCGAGTGCTTTCACCTATCCCCTCTTCCCCCTCTCCGCTTCAGTGGTTTTAGCGGGAGATGACCGTTTGGCGGGAGTTGGTCGTTTTCCACTTGATTAGAGGTTGGATAACATATACGCGGCTTCCTTGAATTTTCTCCTAAACCAGTGTTTTTCTTTGTGGATGATTTCAGCTTGAGCCCANAGACAACGTTAGTCCTTAGCTCGCATATGTTTCTCAACTTCTGAGAGTTGTCGTTCGTAAGGGGGCAACAGCTGATTAACGGAAAAACAAATTTTAAACAGAATTATCTAACCAATTTGAAATTGAATGGTATAATCAAATTATTTGCTGATGATACTCTTTAAAAAAATATTTACAGACAATTACGAAAAAATAAAATATTTATTGGACTTTAATTCACTCTATAAACTCAAAATTATTTGTTTTTTTCATTCTGTTGAAAATAATTTTAAAAAATTGTACTTGAATTTTATTTGAATTGGGAATATTCAAGATCATGTCGCGATACAAACCCAACCACTGTCAAAAATTAAGATACAAAGAAATTTTCGAAAAAAGTCGATATATATCACGATGGGATCATTATATTATATCATTCAATTACAGAGAAAATAAAAAAGCTATTCCATTACAAAATTTAAGTATCAATTGAAAAAAAATCTTATTGCTGGAATTTCATAGTTTGCATTTTATTTCTATTACACTTGAATTCGTTTTCAACATATACTTTCTCTAACCAATTTCATTATTTGACTGTATTTCATTAGTATTTTTTTCCAGATATAATATGTGTTCATTGTAAAATATGTTATTTCTGCTATTTCATTATACTTTGTAGTTAGTTATAGTTCCTAATTATAAAAAGGAAAAAACTTTTTAAAACAACCTATTGTTTATAGTGAAACCATTCCAGTTTGTTTCTGATCACCATGTAGATCCCCATATCAGGTAAACCTACTTTTTGAATGAATGATGTGTTTCTTTGAACTGGTCGATTATATGATAAATGCAAGTTACTTCGATAGACGCCTGCTTATGTTTTCATTTGATGCGCACAATTTCGATAATATAACCAATTCAAGAAACACGTTCATTGGAACTGTTTTTTTGTTGATCAAGGTAGTGAACACCCATAAATGCCAGGAATAACTCAAGTACCTCCCCAAATAATATTCAGACGATATTCATAATCAGTGTTTTTTAGCATTTCTTTTTCGGTCTGCTTTGGTAAATTTCTTTCACTTGAACTCTTGTTGAGTTATCCTTCCAGTGTTGATTCTTCAGAAGTAGTTATCTTACCACTGTACTGGATACAGTCAGTCATCCAGTTCTCCGAAGTCCATCGAGTTCTCTCAACCCTTAGGTGTAAAGGTGACATTGGTACGTGAAGGCCCTTCTGACACTTCTTCTTCAACCCATTCTGGTCATTGACAATCAAAAACAAATACTTCTTATTTTTGATATTTTTCTGAACTTCAGACCATTGTAGAAAATTTCTACTCAATTTCATCAGTGGGAACTTTTTGCTGATGTTTGCTCTTAAGTTGGCTGTGATATATTTATTTCAACTATTGTTGTTCATTTCGTATGTTTGAGGATTCCCAATCTTCGAATGATCATTTTATATGCTTTCTGGAATGTTTTTAAGTATTTTCAGTGAGATCTCTCCGTACTAAAACTAGTGCGGTTGCTCAATAAAAACTGTCGTTATCTGGACAAGTCCAATATCGGCAGTGTGCATCTTCAGTGGTCATTTTTTGGACTAGTTGTTATCGTTGGCTACTGCTTCGAATTTTCAACGATCCTCAACGATCCGTGATGAGTAAAATTCCGTTT